ATATAAAATGGAGAGAGAGAGAGAAAGAGAGAGACAGGAGGTTACCGCGATACACGATTCGTCTGTGTGCGTTTTGCCGATCTCGACGCCCTTTTTACATTCTTTGTGAAACCACACGTCATCGTCTAGCGTAGGTCACCTTGCGAGGTGACTCGGCGAGTGATCTCACGCGTACAGTTTCCCGAAGGATCTGACCGTCGAGTAATTTCCTCCCTGACCATTGCGCCATTGTCGCCGAATTTTCTCTCCAACCCGGAACATTGTCGAGCATGAGACGTAAGTTGACGGGGTTGGGGCGAAAAAGTGGCGGGAGGAGAAAGGAAAGAGAAACGGCGACATGTCAGAGGCAGCAGCGAGATCGGCAACGAGGAGACACGCGAATGGACACGGTAGCTCCGTATGGCGCGCGTTGGAACAGAGAGACCGGTTGTTAAAGAGAGGCGAGGTAGAAGCGCGAGAGAGCCAGGGAAGCGAGAAAGCGGTGGCGGCGGCAGCTGCGGCGACGGCGGCGGCGGCAGTGGTGGAGGAGGAGAAGAAGGACGAAGAGGAGGAGGAGGAGGAGGAGGAAAAGGAGGAGGAGGAGGAGGAGGAGGTGGCGGTGGAGGCGGGAGATAGAAAAAGAGACGCGCGAGAGAGACTCTGGAAGGAGCGCGAGAGCAAGAGCGTGAGTCGACGACGAGCAAGAGGGAGGGTGGGAGGGAGAGAGGCAGAGGGCAGGAGGGAGGGTGGAAAAGGAGAGAAGGAGAGAGGAGGGAGAGAGAGACGGAGAAACAAGAGCGGTAAAAATGAATCGATAGGCGGAGTTTTTCATGACGCGCCGCTAGAGGCGCTTCAGGTGGGGGAGCGCAATAGGCGGAGTCTGGCTGATTTAGGGCCGCCATTTTGTGACAATGGACGAGAAGGGGGGTTGCCTATCTGATTGGCTGATCTACGGACTTCTCTCGTCCTGGACAAGCTTCTACAGATTGTTCGGTTGTACACCGCCGGGGTACTCCAGCCACCCGGCAACCCGGCAACGCCGCCACCCCACCGTAGCTTCCCCCACGCCGCGCCGACGATGCCCCCAACCGACCCCCTCCCTCCCCCGCCTTCTCGGTATCATCGCGGTCGCACACGCAGGCACGTGTGCACGTATGCACGCACACGCGTACTCATGCGCTCTCCTGTACACCACGCACACACGCGCGCGCGCGCGCGCACGCACGCACGAATGACGCGAAGCCGGGTCGCGCATAGGAGAGGAATTCTCGCGAAAAATTGCAAGCGTTTCGTACACGGCTCGCTCGCGCCCGCGCGCGCCTTTATCTGCCATCAGAAAATGTTGATTGCGTTATTTCGCTTCCGCTTAATCGAACGCATCTTCTTTATCTCTCGGTCCCTCTCCCACCCGGATGGACGTCGTTGAGACTGACGATATCGCGCGCGATCTTCTCTGAGATTTTTAACTTCGCCAAAGCAGGAGATAGAGAGAGGAGAGGAGAAGGAGGCACGAGGAGGCTTTCATACACGCAAGCGTCAACTGCGCAACGGCGTCGATGGTAGATCGATTAGATTCGCAGGTTAGCACAACAATCGCCCACAACCTACATAGCCTCGCGTTGCCTCACGTACGAGTGCGTTGGTCGGTCGTTCTGCAAAATTTCTCCCTGGTATTCGCCCAGAAGAAGACGCGACGGCCAAGACGCAATCGCGAGTCAAACGTCGTCCGTTGTGCCGAGATCGCGATTGGATCCGAGGTAGCCGTATCGCGCACTCGTAATCGGCGCGTATTCGTGTAAACGTGCTGTTTCAACTGGGCGACTTGGGCAGTCGTCGCGTAAAACAAACTCACGGAGAGCGCCGCGACGTAAACAAGAAGATTGAAGGCATCCGGCTGCAATTAGAGTGGAAGCAGCTCGCGCGCGTTAGAGAGAAAGAGAGAGAACGCGCGGCGCGCGCGCGCGCGCGCCCCCTGAAAGTCACCGGCGCTATCGGATCGCACGACCTGGGGCAACCTGTAACACGGTAGATCGTCGTCGCATCTCGCTCGGATTTCAGACTTCGGATTTCGGAGGGCGTGTATCTTAATCGCGGTATCTCATCTAGATAGCCCGCCGGCATCAAGATCGGTCCCGCTCGCTCGATTGCGCGAGCGCAGCGAGCACACAACGCACGAGTGTTTGTTGTGTGTGTGTGTATGGCATTCACGTATGTGTTTGTGTGTGCGCAGCAACGTATACACGTATCTAGCCGCTGATCTTCGCGAGCTGGGCACGTGGCTCGCGCGCGGGCTCTCGTTTTCCCCGATCCGATCTAAATTCGGATCGGCGGCAGGATCGCGGCGGAAGGCGTCTCTTTCATCGCGCGCGCGCGGGGACCGATCCGACAGAATTATTCAACACCTCTTGTGCCGGCTCGTGCTGCGATCTAGATTACCGCGTTTTACGCGAGATCGAGTCCCGATCTCTCTCCTCACCTCGTTGCTCCGTCGTCGGGCGGACTGGTACCGCGCTTCCCGAACGATACGAACGAGCGAATTGTCGCGTTCCCTCGAGGGAGAGGGGGGAAGGGGGAGGGAGAGAGCTGGAGGGACGAAGGGGCGCGCGTATCGTTGGAAACCCGTTCGCGGATTTGTGACATTGGAGGAAGGATTGGCGTGTAAGGTGGAGAGTAACGAGCGAGTGCAGGTTGTCGCGTGTCGATCCTGTCGCGCGCAGGTGATCCTGCCCACGAGGTGGGGCGATTCCGCGAGGTGCGCTCTCTGAAATTCCTCAAATGATATTCCGCTTGAAAAGCAAAGTGACAGCCGTGCATCTGGAATTTTACGCACGAAAGATGGCGGTCACGCATAGCGAAAATTATCTAGATACGAGGAATTTGTCAAAATGGATAAATGACTAGCAAATAATTGCGATATAGGATATTTCGCACTCAATCCATGCGAACGACAGAGACAGAATTTCCATCTGAGCTATTTGTGAAATTTAACAAGGATGTCTCTCTATGACGCCCATCCATGTGAAGTAAAATTGGAAATTCTAAAAGAAAATGAACTAGAAGCGAGAGATCGTTACGTTACACATGTGTGTGATCTTGGCAGCGAATATGTTAAGCCCAGCCACACTCCTTACAAAAAGTGATTTTTACCCAGTGTCCAAAAATGACCCACCGAAATTTATTTGCAGACATTACTCGAATGCTGTTGCCGTAAATTCCACGTATCAGACAACTTTCTCCCAGATAAATAGCTAATTTTAATTGTGACTAATTTTAACATTTAGCAACTAATTTTAATTGTGACTAATTTTAACATTCAGAATTCTATCTTGACCGTTAGAACATTTTATTTTTGTGTGTACATTGCCGCTTCATGAAGAACTTTATCCCTCTTTCTTAAAAATTAAAATAGATTATTTTATTTCTTTCCATCGTGTGATCAGGGGATGTGTATTCTTTTCCCGTTAAAAAATGACGATGATGATGACGATTATCAACGTTTTTAGCAACTTTGGTTAACTTAACCGGCTGGTTGTTCCAAAGGAACTGACCAAACGCATCTGTTAATTCTAACTAACGAGAAATGCCGATTGGTCAATGCCGTTGAAACCAGCCGGTTGAGTTAACCAAAGTTGGTAGAAACAGACATTAAAGATTCACTTTTGTCATTCCGAATTTTCGCTCGAAGGAATTCCAAAAGAGGAATACGCCGGAATCCAATGGTACTTCGGGGATCATCGGCAACTCTTCGCGCTTTGGCTTCGCGCGCGCGATATGTGTATGTGTGTGCGCGCGAGAGCCTCAAAAATAACCCGCGACAATTTCATTCGTCGTTGCGCTACGCGCTGATGATACGTTAGATTTTCGATTGGCTGGCGCGTTGATAAATTGCCGGCGTAAATAGCAGACCGGCGCTCGTTGCTGCCGCAGCTGCAGCTCGCGCAGCAATATATTCAAAGTAGGCTATAGAAATGTATCGTGCGTGTGCGTCCTGATGGAACGATTTGGCACCGTTGAGCCGCGGTATCTGCCAATCGGTGAGGACTGCATTAAATCCGCTTGGGAACATTGAATTTTCCGCTCGCGCGCGGCGGCCCGCACCGCCGCTGGTGGACGCGCGCGCTGCTCGCGTTACCCGAAATCGCCGCGCTCCGATATCTCGCCGCCGGCTAGATGCCGCGTTTATTTCCTACTCGTGAATTATTTCTGCATAAGGCGGGCGAATTGTATTCTCCCACCTCTCCGTCTTCTCTTCTTTCTCTCTTTCTCTCTCGTCTTCCCGTGCAAATCGACAATGTGGTTATAATACGTTTCTCCTTCTCCTATGTGAGGGAGAGAGAGAGAGAGAGAGAGGGGGGTGGCACTCCCGCAGAAGTATTCAGACATCGTAGACCAATAATCTCACCCTCTCCCCCGTGAGCCGATACGCGGACAAGATAAATGACCGAAGCGGGCTTTCGATGCCCGAAAGAAATTGCGCCTAAGCGAGCGCCGCCTATCTCATGAATATTCACCTAGCCAATAGAAATCCGCGTCCGACGATGACGACGACGACGACGACGACGACGACGGTACGATGTGGTCGTCTAAAAATTCCGATAACCACCACCGATCGTCGACCTGCGTCCACTTTGTCCATCGCGTTGTCGTTGTCGTCATCGTCGTCGTCGTCGTCCTCTAACCTCGACGGACGTGCGGCTTTTTACGACGCGCCGGTTGCGACGACCAGTTGCGTCGTTCACCGTGAACTTAGCGACAAGCGCGGCTTGCACCTCCTTCTCGTTGGCCCGCTCCGTCGAGGAAGCGCGTCTTTTCTCGTTGACTTTGTCGATGACAACGTCGACGTCGTCGTCGTTGTCGCAGTCGCGGGAACGGCACAGCCGCGCGGGCAGAGCGCATACGTGTCGTCAGTGGCAGCAGCAACATCGACGGCAGCTGCGGGAACAGCGGCGGCGGCGGCGGCGGCGGCGGCAGGGCTCAGCGCTGCTTTCCTGCGAGCGCAGTGGGGACAGTTAACGCCCGTGAGTAGGTTGGGCCGCTCCGAATGGGCGTCGTCGCTTTCCAGCGAGCGCGGCCGAGCGCCACCGGAAATGGCCGATCGCGCTGGATTGGGGGGGCTTGTTCGCCGCAGTGTTTTCGTGCGCTTAGTTCCGCGCCGGGTGCCACGTCAGTCGCATCGACTCGAGTTCGCGCGCGCGCGCGCGATTTGAAAAAAACTGCAAGAGGACTTTCTCAGCCGCATCTCCGCTCTCTCGGTCTCTCGTGGCGCCGCGACGGCAGGGAGAGGGAGAGAGAGAAAAGAGAGAGAAAACGTGAACGTCAAGCGGGCGATCTCGTCGGACGACGAGGGGGACTCTCGTGGAAAACTGACTGCGGAGCGAATCTCGCGTGTTATTGCGGCGGCACAATTGCGGCGGAGGTGAACGAAACAACGGAAGGAAGGACGAACGCGAGTGAGAAGTTTCTCGAGTTCGCGCGCGTTCGCGTACCAGTGATAGGACAACATCGTCGCGTCGTCGTCATCATAACGTCGTGCGCGCCTCCGGTACTCTCGGACGATATCATCCGGACGTGCGTGATCGCAGGAAGATCTCGCAGAAGAGGAGAGGCACAGAGAGAGAGGAGCAGGGAAAGTCCTGTCAATCTGACCCGCTCTCGCCGCTCTCCCCCACCCGCTCACTCTCTCGCTCACTTGTTCAGTCACCTATCCACCCAGCCGGCCGCCAGTTCCCGCCGGAGCAAAACTCCATGAACGCCACGATGTGCTGTGTGTGTGTACGGTGCAGTGTGTTGGTGCTAACTTAGTGATAACGATATTCCCCCTTCCCCCAACTCCGCGTAACGTACACGAACTAGTCGTCGCGTTATCAGCCGGGATTGCCGCCGAGATAAGGTAAGCGCCTACTACCGGGCGGGTTAGGTTCGCCGATTGCGGTCTTGTTTCCGATCACATTCGCGGAGCGTAGTGAGTCTTTCTCCCGTGCTTCTTCTCAAGCGCCCTGGCGACGGACTCTGCTCGCGAATATCGTGAGCATCTCGTGACCGGCTTCTACCTTCTTCTTTTCCTCCTCTTCCTTCTCGAGTCAGTACACCCGCGAGCTGCTCGTGAATCTTTGGCGCCAAGCGCTGCCAACGGTCGCGCGGGCTATCGCAAGTCCCCAACCAATCGCGATGCGCGAACAATATCGGCGCTTGGAGATCGCGAGAGAATATTAAACAGTAGACGAACTGTCGCCGCGCGAATCCCCGAGTCGCGCATTTCAACGACACGACTCGGCGAATATCCTGAACTTATACGGGGTTTGAAGTGAACGTAGAAAATGAGAGAGAGATGATATATAATCAATGGCAGGAAGTTGCCACTCTCTTCCTTATATCAGATTATGCATTGAAGACTGAGGATCGCGTGGATTAAAGATTGGACCAATTAGAATAGGGCAAACCAAGATCGCAGTTTGTTGATTCGTCAAAATCTAATCTTTAACCCGCAATCTTCAATCGAATCTCTAGTCTGATAAAGCCCGTGTCACACTACGGATTGGAGATGAAGGATTGCGAATTGAACATTAGAATTTGACCAATTGGAACAAAGCAGGCCAAGATTGAAATTTCGCTCGTGTATTCAATAGAAGATAGGAAGATAAATTTTTCTATTGGATGCCGGACACACGCTCTGAAGTTCACTGAGCTAATAGTGTTCTGCAACCTTTCGTCCGCGGACTTCGTTCGTATGTACATTTTCGCTTCCGAATCGCCGCGGACTTGACTCCTGTTCTCGCGACATATAACTAGGACGACCGGTGGCGAGCGGTGAAGTTCGTATTTGCGGTGCCGTCGTGCAAATTAAACCTGAATCGCGTATCTACGATATTGACCAGTTGAACTGAGCCTCGATCGAGTGGAAAATTTATTCCATGGCCCTGTTCAGCTTGATCCCAATCGGTTATTTTTGTATAAGCTGATGTTACTAGATTCCTCTGATCAGGTATCTGTCAACGCAGCATGGCGAGATCGGGACCTTATTAATAATAAGGGTTATTGATAATTAGAACCCTATCAATAATCAGGATCCGATAACATCACTTTGTAAAAATCGGATGACTAATGGGGATCAACCTGACGAGGGAATAAATTCTAGCTGAGAGGACGATGTCGTCGGATCGTCTTCGCGCCTCCTTTTTCGTCGATCAAACGGGAGACAGTTTGCGCGTATCGTTCATAAGAAATTAACAGTTGTACAATTTTGGAAAAACTCAAACGGGAAATATATCCTCGAGTTATCTAAAAACGTGAAGAAAATCCGTACAGTGAAGCGAAAACCTGCCGACGGCAGGTAGTCACAGGCAGGATGAGTCACAGTCCGTTCGTTCGATTATATTCTTTACTGGCGACAGACCAAAGACAGCGGGAAGTCCTTTCGCATTCGATGATGTCGTGTACTGTCATAAAAGCGCGGTAGTTTTTTGCTTTCACGTATTTGTGGGACCTCAAGCTCAAGCTGTTTAACTCCCTTAGTTCTTTTCAATCGAGAAACAATTCTCGATGACTAGAACTAGGCGGGGGACGTCCCTTAGAGCGTCCCTTTATGCGTCAGCCTCGATTTTTAACAGTGCAGTAGGAACGGTACTTTGCCGGCGGGAAAGTTCGTGTTGACAAATTGAACGCGATTCGATCGTGGATGCGAGTGGACTGTTATGAACTTCTCGAGCGACGAGCTCGCCGACGGTATCGCGAAGCGGCACGTTCGGAGGCAATCCTTGGGATTTTCACGCCTTGGGAGAAAGGCGGAACCCAATCAGACGTCACGTTGATGATCAGTAGGCAGTCGCCAGACTTTGTTTCTCTATACCGCGAGTTCTGATTGACTCCTGCCTGTCTGTTTCCTGCTAAAATATCAATTATTTTTAAAGGCAGATTCATACCTTGGCAGGAAACAAAAAGGCAGAAGCCGATCAGAACTCGCGCTGGTAGTAAAACAAAAATTGTCGATTACTGTCTGATGACTAGCGCGAGTTCCGACTGGCTTCTATGTTTCTGCTTTTCTGCCAAAGTGATGAACTCTCTTTGAGAGCGGTGCAACACGCGATATTTATGAAAGAAGTGGACAGAGCTAGGTCGAGTTTTCGTTGCCGCCGGGGATTTCTGGTCGCGAATAAACCGGAAAGAGTGCGCTGTTTCTTAATCTCGTAAAGTTTCTAGCGTCGCGGGGATTCTGTTTGTCTCGATAAAAGTATCGCGGGGTTCCGATTTCGCCGTCGTAAAGTTCGCCGTAGGGTTCGCCGAATGTGATGTGAGAAGCCCGCGGCTTCTCTTTTTATTACCGCGAATATTTGCGCGGCCGTTTGTCGTGCGCGTATTTATAACGTGACGAGGACTCATCGTCGTTAGAACTCGCATTAGTCGTGTTGTATGCGCCTCGCATCGCCGATAAAACTCCTCTTTCTGGTCTCTCGCCGAAAAATGAGTTATAGTATAATCGTCACTGGTAGCTCTCTTTAATCCTCAAAAAAAAAAACGCACGCGAATTCTTCTTACATGAACTGTCACATTTTACCTCCGCGCGTCCATTTACGAGTTAAGTATCTTCGCGTCGTTTGCAATTCGCAGGCAGAGCTTGAGAAATTAGCGTAGCTTCAGTGGCTTCAGATCTGAACGTCACGCCGAGATAATTTCCGTAAAAACTCGATAGCCGACGTGAAGCCATACAGCCAAAGTGTTCGAGGCCCTTCCCCGATTAATTATGCGATTAGTAAAAACAGCTTCCGCGTTCCAAGAAACATTTCAACGCTCGCGATCGCGATTAGGGCTACCGACGGCGCCCACGCTTTCGCGCGCGCATTCAGAATCCCCGCTTCTCTCTGCTCTCTTTGATCTCTTCACGGCGAACCACGGGGGTAAATCCTCTTCCCTCTACGCGGAACAGTCGCGGGATATTCTTTTTTGGAACACTTCTCTAAGCACACGAAACGAGGGTAGACTTTGGCCGACGGTTCGTGCGCGACGCATAATTGGCGATTTGTAAGTGTAGCGAGCAGTCGTTTCTATTCATCTGTTGCGAATCAGCTGCGTTGATTGATGTAATGATGCGTTTCCAGCGTACCTTACGACTCGGGGAATATCGTAGACAGTGATGTTACATTGTAACGTATCGGGAAAAAGGCACGCGCGCGTTTCAATTGGAGTTCTACAATCCGTCATTCTTATTTTTCATTTCTTAGATCACTTCTAAAGCTTACTTATATCCAATTTATCCGTCCATATTTGCATCTTTATCTGCACTTGATTCAGTCAAATTAGTGTTGGTTAATCTTATTAAGAAAATAATTAGTCAAATTAATCGATTAGTTTATCAGAAAAATAGTCAATATACTCATCAGTTATATATATTGATGATCTATAAGCTTAAGTTTTTTAATTTTTTTACATGCAGAATTGGGGGAATGAGTTTTTTAACTTCCAACTTTACTAGTAATTCTGTTCAATCCGTTAAAGATTAACCATTATTTGTTTCGTCCAAAACACCCAAATATTCCATATATTTTATACCCGTATTAACCTTTAGAATCCGTGAAGCCGCACTCTGGGGACTTTACATTTTTGGACTAATCTATACTTTCACATGTACGCAAAAGTTGTATCTAAAAAATTTTTAGAAGTAGTCGGAAAAATCGTCACTTGAAATTCACCTCAAGTGAGGTATTAGGTACTTAAGTCCATATTAATACTCGTTACTTGAAACTCATCTCAAGTGATACGCTCAGATTCTAATTTAGAGTAAAATGATAATTTAGAGTGAGTTTTTCAGTTGAATGGCAATTACAGATATAAATGTCATGTATGTCATAATCTTATCTGAACTAAGAACTTAGATTTAATTCTTAATAAAAGAGTATGTCTAAGGTGACCAGATTTCCTAGCCCTGCATTCGGGACACTTCATAAATGTGTGAAGTGGGAGGGAAGGGGGTAAAAAGATCCAAAAATTATTTGATAATCATTGAAAATGATGACAAATCGGTGTCCCAAATAGCAAAGATCGAAAAGATTCGGGACAAAGGGTGAAAAAGGACGTCTGGTCATCTTAACTGTATGTGTCGAGAAGGGAGGAGATTACTTCGTAATAATGTCGTGTGTAATAAACTTACGATATGTCCTGACGACCGCACGTCGTTGTTTTCGGCACTCTAATACTTATTTCCGCAGGAGACTCACAGGACACAAGCGAAAGACATATGGAATACGAAGTGTCGTGTCCATGGCAGTGCTCGGCATGAAAAGATCGCAGACGCGCGCGCTGTCAATCACGTACACCAAAAGTTCATTAGCGCGCCGAAAGTGCCAAAAGTGCATGAATGTGAACGCGCCAGTGATGCGAACGAGGTCGCGCGTCTACAACGACGCGATCTGTACGACGGACGCCTTAACCACTTGCTCGAGTTACTAACCACTCTAGACCAATCGCATTCGTTTTGCACTACGAGGTTGTCATCGTGGTTATTCAATCTAGGCGTTGGTAATGAATCGCGCGAAATGCTCGATCTTTTCGCGCCAAACAGCAGCTATGGGCACACATCGATCCACATCGCTCCGCGTTTCTCGCGTCTTTTATCCGTCGAAAGTGCGTCTCGCGCGTTAATAAGTCTCGGGAGTGTCGAGAGTAGCGATGTGCGATTGCCGGGGCGTATAGTGAAGACGTCATTTGTAAGTAATCTTCTCGTTTCTCCTCGCGGTATCTGCGACCTGTACTTGTCGCGCCGACGTCCCTTACATTTGCTAATAACATCGACTCGCTCAAGTAGCAATAGGATCGGGCAATCGTCGGATTTATTGAACGAGAATTAAAAATGTGATGACAATCAGAGAGAAAGAGAGAGAGATGCGGAATATTCGGGCG